TTTCTTTAAAATAATTTTTTTATTTTTGTATTTCAAATTACAAAACCTAATATAAATATTAATATTAGTTTTTCTTTAAACTTTTGAACTGAGTTTTAAGGTTAATTACACGTTTGGTAATAGTTAAATTCTCAATTTAGTATCTAATATTTAAAAATTCACAACTACATATTTGAATTTTGAACTGAGTTACTTGTCTTTTATTGTCGACCAAAAAACAAAGTCAGCACTCATCAGCTCAATATAAATCTGATTAACTTTAAGCAAAGGCATTTTGAAGCTGCTAAACGTACAATTAGAAAAAGTTGAGAGACAAATCTTGCACAGAGAGAGAGAGAGAGAGAGAGATTGGAAGGCTGGGAATCTATGCAGAAAATCATGTTGTTTCATTCATTGATACCTTAACTTTAATTTAATAATTCGTGTAATTATATCATATAAAATATTAAAATTTATATATTTATATTATGTTTTATATAAATATTGTATATCATAATTCGTATCAATACGAAAATATAAAATATATTTTTTTAATTTTATTAATCTCATATATAATTGTTATTAAAATTTTAAATTATATATTTTTTATATAATATTTATATAATATTTTTATATCATATTTTAAATTTCAATTTTATCATAGGGTTCACATGCAGGCAGGTCTCTATTATATATTTATTTGTTTACTACTAATATTTACTAATTTATTTGGAAATACAAATGAAATAAATATGAAATGCATCTTATTTTATCATAGAAGCTGCCTATTGTAGTGAACATGAAAAATGATAAAAAAATATGGAAATTATATAATTTAAAATTTTAATAAAATTATATATTGATATGATAAAAATTAAAAATATATTTTATATTTATATATCGACATAAATTTAATAAATAATATTTTATATTTTTTATAAATTTGATATGATATAAAATAAGATATATATGCAAATTATAATATCTATATCATTTTATTAATTATAATAATAAAATTTAAAATTTTCACTAATATAATCATTTCTCGTTTAATTATGTAAGGCAAAAACAGTGCTTACTCTTATAAATTTCATCCGTCCATCCTCTCATTTTCAAGTGATTTAACTCACAACCCCACCAAACTCGACCTAAAACAATGGCTTGCCCGCCTCTACAAGAGTTTTAACGAGTCACGCCATTGCTATGACTTTGTGAGTGCTCACTTTCTTGTCAACCAAAATTAAAGGCCATGACCGCATTCAATGAATTGTTTTCATCTTTTAATCATACATGTATTTTTCCCAACCTCTCCTTCTTGTACTAAGCATTTGCATGTTGAAAAGCCAAACAAGCTTAAGCCCCAATTCCCACTATTGCTACTTTTAGCTTTCCAATTAATAATTAGATGACGTACCAAACACTTCAAGTACCATGTATCCACGAGCACAAAGTAAAATTAAAGGTTTTTATCTTGTACGTAAAATTAGAGCTCGTAAAATTGACCTCAATTAGGAATTTTTTTGAATTTGAACTCAATCAAATCTAATTTAATAAAAATATCAATAACCCAAATTTATTTTATTTAAATTTAAATTAATTTGAATTCAAAATATTTAAACCCAAATAAAAAGATTAATTTGAAATTAATTAATTTAATTTTAAATTTAATAATTTAAATTCAAAATAATTTGAACTTCAGGACTCAATTTTTCAATCTAAAATTATGGGATCCAAAGTGATTAAAAACCATACACAAATAACAAATTTGCTGTATAATTGCTTTGGTTAAAAAAAAAAAAGGGAAAGGACATGAACTTGTGATTTGTCACAAGAGGTAAGACTTCTAATGGGACAAAGACGTGGTCCCCAGGAGGGAGGCGGGGAGACCAGGTCAAACCAAAACTCATAGGCTTTAAAAAGAGTAAAAATCGGAGATTGATCCAAGGGCTATGGAAGTAGGGTGGCGAAAATATAGAGGCAGGTGAGCCGTAGATGCGAGACCATTCCCAAGAAAAAAGATTCTATGCTGTGGCTATCATCGACCTAATGTCAAATCAAAAGGAGCAGCTAGCTTAGCTGCAACTCTCACCCTTTTCATTTACTATTTTTACTATTTCATTTGTTTACTTTGCTTGAAATTATATATAAATTTAATAATATTGATAACATAATTTTTAATTTTTTTATAAAATATAATATAAATATAAATTATTAATATTTTATATAACACGTGTACATCATGCCGAAATTTAAGTTTTACACTGCTTTGGTACAGTACTTTCGTAATGAAACCCTCCCGGCTTTGATAAGATTAGAATTATACAATCCACCAAGCAACCTGTAGGTTTTTTTTTTTTTTTTCAACTTTTCCAATAGAGTAATCTGAATTAATTTCTACTTTTGGATCCTAAAATTTTCATGTTATCAATTGAACCGATTAGTTCCTACTACATTCAAATATTACAAAGATAATAAATAAATTGAATAAACTTTATCATTTATTAATAAATTTTATTATTTATTAGCAAATTTTATAAATATTAAATAATTTAAAATTTTTAATATATACAACTTTTAATTTAATATCTTTAATAATCTTTAATATATAATTTACCTTATCAACATTGCTATTTTACATCATACTGTAATTATTATTTTATATCCAAATATATATTTTATTATTAATTTTAATCTCATTACTATAATAACCAATTTTACTTTTATAACTATTTTTAATTTTTAATTTCATTACCATCCAAATATACCATAATTTTGAAATCTTACTATTAAACTCACACACTTATTAAAACACAATTAATATATTTAACATGACACGATATAAATGATTCATAAACATTATCAAAAAATTACCATCCAAAAATCTTTTATTTCTAAAAATTATTACTAAATACCAAAATACCCAACAATAAACACATAATAAAAAAATAATAACCAGAAGAGAGTTTTTATTTTAGGGATTTCATGTTTAAGGTTTGATATCTTTTTACATCTTCAAGTTGTTTTTTGAGCTTTCAATTGGAGAAAGGAATAGGGTTTAGTTTTGGTGCTTTGGATTGATAAGAGAGGCAATTGAACAGCGAAAATAACAACATGGAAGAATTAAGCTTTGGATTTTAAGAATTTTTTTTAGATTCTCAAATAAATAAGTGTCGGGGACATTTAGTAGTAAAAAAAGTATAATAATTTTTTATTTTATATTAGAAGCTTTCAGTAAACAATCAAAAGTAATTTTAACATTTGCGTCAATCTGATTTATTAGGTTAATCTAATATTCTCAGCTATAACATCAGTTTTATAGTGTTTTTATTGTTCTTTAACGGTTCTCTGTCACTTATTTATAAATATGAAAGTTCAGATATCATGAAAGTGACATACACCATTTTATTTTTTTTCTATTACTCTCCTTTCAATTTCATTCTTTTTCATTTATGTATTGAAATATAAACACAAGGATCATTCTCTGCCTTTGTATCTAACCTTCTTACTCTTTTGTTTTTTCAAGAATATCCTGAGACCAAATCACTATACCAATAATAAAGAAAATGAAAGGAGAAGACCAGAAGACGACGCAAGGACTAGTTAGATGATGATAGAGGCAGCAGTCGAAGGAAGCAGCTTTTAGAGACGACAAACAAGGTGAAATTGTGAGTTCGATGAATGAGAAATGAGAAGAGTTAATTGCAACTTTGTTAAGTGAACTTTTAAAAAAATGTATAAATTAGTCCTTAAAGAAATGAAATGTATAATTTATATTTTGAATTTTTAAATAATATATTATTTTTAAAATTTTTAATATTATTAATTTAATTCGTTTATATAATATGTAATCAATATAATTTTATTATATGTATATTATTTATTAAATAAAAATATTAAATATTTTGTAAAAACCTTCGCGTAGACGTTATATAACAAAAAAAAATGATTGATCCTAGACATTTTTACATTTCAAGTAAAAATTATATTTTTTAATTTATATTAAAAAAAATATATTGATAATATGTATGATAAACACATAGCTCGATAATTTTTGTTAATTACCTCATATATAAGTTGATATGATTAACGAAATTAGAATTGAAATTAATATGATATCTAATTTGAAAGTTCAAGTGCAAAGTTTACATTTTTATTTTTAAAAATATTAATTTATATATTTTTTCAAAATATAAGTAAAAAAATATAATTTTTTAGGGTTAAAGTTTATAAACATGTTTAATGTATTTCATGCTACTTATATATATTTTTCGTATTTTATACATGTTAAACATATTAAATACATATACATATAACAAGAATAGTATCATATCAAAATATATTTGAATGCAATTTATTATTAGTTTTCCTTTTTTCATACAAAATTTGTTCTTTAAATCTTATAAAGATAATAATGAACAAAGTAAGGTTCAACTAATCTGATATGGATGTCAATAGTATTTTTGGATAAATTAAGGAGAAGAAAAAAAAAAAAGTAGGCCAATAGAACAAATAAAATGACATTAAGATGCAAACAACATCAGCATCTGAATAATTTAAGTAATAGTTGAAAATATCCAACATGTTTGCTCCTCTTAGCAAATGTTGATTGAATGTGGTCCAATTGCCACTCCTAAATTTAAACAGATCAGGGCAAGGAGGTCTCAAAAGTACAAAACATGAATATATATATATATAGAAAAGGAAAAAATATAAAAGAAAATATTTAAATTAAGTGAATTAAATTTAATAATTCGTACATTTATATTAAAAAATTAATAATTTATATATTTTTATTATATTTTATATAAATAATAATGTTTTAATTTATATGGACACAAAATATTTTTTATTTTTATTAAATATATATAATTTTAACTAAATTTTAAATCATTTTCGTATTTTTATTATATATTTGATTAATTATCCTGTTTTAAATCATCTAAAATTGACTGGGGAGTCTGATACCATCCAGAAAAATGTGGTATCATTGTTTACCAAAAAAAAAAAAGTGGCATCATTTCCCCAAAAAACCTCTCCATAGTAAACATCAAATCTCAAAAAATATTAAAATATTAAATGAAAATTTAATGAAAGAGACAGATTAGATAAGCTCCAGTAGTACATGACATTATAAAAACAGAACAATCCTGACAGACGCGATTTCGTGCGCGTGCATCCCAAAATTCAGTCAGCCCACCAAATTCTCAACTCTATCAAGAACGGCGAAAAACAGAGATTCCATACCTTTCAGATCAGATTGGAAAAAAACCTTACAATCTCAAAAAAAAAAAAAAAAAAAACATAAACGAACTTCTTCCAAACTCTCGGATTTTCATTTCTTTTTCCATTGAAAATCAGCAAAATGCTGACAAATTTTTTAAAAACTTAAAACAACCATGAACAAGGAAAAAAAAGGGTATACACATCAAAATTCTACAATTTTTTTGTTTCCAAAAGAGAAGGACAGCTACAAGAAACGTGGGAATAGCAAACTTGAATCACTTGAGAACCCTCGAAGGGAATTAAAAAAAAGAAAAAAGAACGCATGACATTAAATCTCAAAAACAGTACATGAAAATGTTAAAAATGTTACCATTACTACAATTAATACTTGGTACTAATTTGTTACCAAATCTCGTTTCTTTTTTTTTTTTTTTGGTTCTTTTTTAATGATTTCGATCCGTTGTTTTGTTTCTGCTGTTACCCTGATGCCCTTTGCTGCTTCCTCCATTTGCAGTCTTTTGTGGAGAAGAAGTTGAAAGGAACTGTCCGAATCCAAAAACTGAGCCTGATTTTGATGATCCTATCAAGGAACAAACAGGGACGTTAAGAACTGGGTTGATTCTAACATTACCTGAATATGACCTTTCCATTCCTCTTTGTTTAAACCTGGGACCACCATTAAAGCTACTTGGACTACTTGAACTTCTTTCCAGGTTATGAAACACGATTTTCCCTGAAGAATTCATTCTTGGACTATCTACTGAAACTCCCCTGATTGTTACTCCACCTGATGAATCCATCCGGATCGGACTCCGTTCCATTCGAGTCCCACCAGCTGCTGTTTGATTGGTGTCCGACACTGATGAACCTGGTCTTGGTTTAAAAATCCTCATTCTTGGTGGGTTTGGGTTTATGTTTCTACAAGGAGCAAATGGATTGGGGCTGGGGTTGTTTAAACTTGGCTTGTCGGTATCAAGTGATAGCCTTGGAAGATCCTCATGTTCATGGCCGGAAGATGAAGAAGAAAGCGATAACCTTGATGAAGATATAGAGAGTGACTCACAATCTGAGTCTTTCAACAAGGGAAGACTCAATGTAGAGTCTGCCCAGGAAGCAGTGGAAGAGGAGGATTTGGAGTTTCTATTAAGGAAATGCTTGAGAGATTTCGGGTTATTATTAGATAATAATGAGATTTTGCTTTGAGAGTCGGATTTCGGAGGTTGATTAGTGTAATGGGAAAACTTTTTAAGACCCAGAAGTTCCCTCCACCTGCTTGAACACCTTGGAGCTTTAGGAGAAAACAAGTAAGGATCCGTGCCAGAAATCTCCATTCCTATTCTATGGCAAGATTTGGCTGTTTCGGGGGACCTGATTTCAGACAAAGCATTCACAGGAGGATGCTGTTTCAGAGTTGAGAAATGTAAAGGCACGAGCTTACCATCAGAAAAAAGCTCATCAGCTGGAAGCATGGTGACAGGATCTTCATCAAGCCTGAACTCAAAGTCACCAGCTACTGTATCTTGGATCTCTGGCGGATCAGAATCAGGAAGAGGATCTTTGGAAGACGGATCAGCCGGGGACTTGGGTCTAGACTTAGATGACTCCTCTTCTTGGCTGAGGGAAATCCTAGGACTCAACCAACTGTATGTAGAGTAACTTGTTGTAGGCTGGAAACTCTCCGGCGAGACGCCGATGTTGTTAACACAAGCTGAAGCCATGAAGAAAAACAAAGCAATAAAAGAAAGGGAATTATATTTACATTTGGGCTGATAAAATGATATAAGAGTTGAAATCTAAAGCAAAGCCGAAAGGGAAGCGTTTTTGTTTGCAGCAGCTTTGGCTTTGGTTTTGGGTTTTGGTTTGGCTTTATTAGGGTTTGTTGGGGGGGGGGGGGGGGGGACGATTACATGAGAGTGAAAAACTGTGGAAAAGGGTGAAGGTTATGGTATTTGGGTAGGGTCACGTGACACATTTTTTTTTATTTTATGAATTCTTTTAGAAATATATCACTTATAATTTTTTTATTATAATTTTGTTATAATTTTATAATTATTAATTATAATAAAAAATTAGAGATTTATTACTTAAAAATTTAGATTCTATATAATTTTTAGAGTTCAATATAAAAGTATAAATTTATTATATATTTTTTTATTAATTTAATAATTTAAAAAAATAAAATTCACATTTACATACATAAATTTTAATTTTATTAAATACTTTACTACTTCGAATTAATAAATTAATCTAATTGTTTATATAATATTAATATCTAATAAAATTATAATACATGTTATAAATATTGAATTATTATCATGTAATTTATTGTCACGCTAATATTTAAACAAAAAATTTTAAAAATATGTACTTTTTATTTAAAATTAATAAATAAAGGAAAAGAATCAGGCAGATAAAGATAAGAATGGGAGGAAAGGGGAGAAAGATAAGGGATACAAGGAGAAGGGGAAGGGGAAGGAAAGGTAGATCTTTTTACATATTAACTTTTGTTTTTATAAAATCTTAAATCATAATGGATAAATTATACTAAGTGATATTTTTTATTATTTTTTTATTTCCTTGTCGTTTCTTTACACGTCAAACAAAGTTGGTTCTGGTCAGTTTTGCTTTTTTGACTGTTTTTCTTGTTAGACTTGTCTCTTTTATGTTCGTGATCTGTATTGTATGTATATCCTTTCTTTTCCCGTGACGTGACGTTTGATTTGTTGATTGAACTAATGACGTCTAAGGATGTAAGTAGTAGGGAATAGATAGACTATAAATAGGGTAAAATGTCTTTTATTTTTGAATTTTTATATTATTTTTATATTTATATTTAATGAATACTTTAAGTTTAAATTTATTTTTATTTTTATATATATATTTAATGATATGGATAATTTTTATATTTATAATTTTTAAAAAAATCAAAATTTTATTTTTATTTTTTTATCTTATTTTATATATTTAAGTAATTTTTTATAAATATATATTAATCTATTTTAAATATATATATTAATTTTAAGTAATTTAAAATAATAATTTATATTATTTAATAAAAAATTTATATACTAAATATGTATAATATATATAAAGTATAAAAACAAAATGAATATTATATTTTTCATTTTCATTTTTATATTTAATAAAAATTTAAAATAATATCTATTTTTATTTTCATATTTATAATATTATTTTTACTTTTATTTTTATTAGAATAAAAAATTAAAATTTTAAATACAAATAAAAATAACATTTCTAATTACGTTCAGTGCCTGTAAAAGTTAACTACAATTGTGGTCTCTCATCCCATATGTATTTTCAATGTCCCAAACTATAAACCAAATTCGACCTAATTTAACTTGGCACTAGAGCAAATAAAAAGAATACTATATTAGGATGTGATATAAAAATAATATGAGTTAAATTTTAAATATATATGGATTTAATAAAAAATTTAAAAAAATAAATTTTTTATTGATATGAATTATAATATATAATTTTATGAAAATATAATCTAAATATATAAATTATTAATATTTTAAATATATATGGATTTAATAAAAAATTAAAAAATAATTTTTTATTGATATAAATTATAATATATAATTTTATGAAAATATAATATAAATATATAAATTATTAATATTTTTATATGATATGAATATAAGAATTATAAGATCTACTTAATGCTTCTTTTATTTTATCATAAATGAAAAATATATTAATTTTTTATATTTAAAACTATTAAAATTAAAAGTGGAGCAATCTATGAACAAATCATATTGTAGTTAACATTAGAAATATATTATTATAATTGGATAATGCTACTTAAAGTCAGTTGAATGAAAATTTCCACTGCAATGAAGTGTCATTTTTGTATTGATTTCAAATCAATGCTCCAAGATGAATTTTTTTTGGATAATATAAAATTAATTGATATCATTTTTAGATAAAAATATTTTTTTCATACATAAATTAATTAATAACATATAAAAAAATTTGTCTTCAAATGGGGGTAACTCTCAATTGAAGTATACCTCACAATTGAGCCATCAAATTATTTTTTATTTGTTAGATAATTATTGATCAATAAAAAAATTTAGTTAGTTATTGTGTTTTGTAGGTTAGGGAGCATTTGGTTTTAATTTAATTGAGATATAATAAGTTGAGTTTTAATTGGATTTAAAAAATATGGATGTTTGTCTGATTTAGATTATAATTGAATGTGTTTTTTTTTTTTTATAGGTTTAGAGTTTTTATGTTTTATTATCTACAATAAAATAAAATAATGAAGATATAAATATAAAAAAATACTTTTCTTTTATTCTTTCTTTTGCTTTAAATATTTTTATAAAAAGAGTTTATAATCTATCAAAAATCATCCATTTTGATCAAATAATTAATAAAAGAAATACAACACTCATAAAATAGCATAAAAAATAACAAAAAATGTAATTGGTATATGAAATATTATGTATTTTTAATTTTAATATTTTTATTTATTTTAATAATATGCATATGGAAGAATCTTCATTACACTCTAATTACATCTAACAAATCAAATGATAGGTCTTGAAACAATAAATATTGTCGAATTTGAAATTTAATTAAGATAGTTCATATAGTTACTTTTAAAAATTAGATTTAGCAAGTACAAATTTCAATACCTATAATCTCTCTTCCTATCTCCAAAAAGTAAACAATGTCAATTTAAAGGACACAAATCATTGGATTGCATGCAACGTTTTTAAAGTTGTTTTTAGCATTTTCCATGATTAGTTTAACATAGACTAGATTTTAACTTGTGTTACTCCACAGGAGTTTTACTTTTTAGTGACTACAAGTAGGGAAACATATTAACCAAAAGTTAGTGAAGTCCTATCTTTGTCATTTTTATGTTAAACAAGGCATTTGTATTAAAAAACTTAAAAATTATCGTATGCAAAGTTTTTATAGGATATCTTCATTTGAATTGATTGATCATTGTCTCAATAGCGAAAAGACAACCATGCAAAATTAATTAAATTAAAAAATAGGTGAGGTGATGAAATACATTGAGTGTGTTGTATAATCGCAACATGCCTTTAAAGTTAAAGGCGAAATTGTATAAAACAAATGTGAGAGCCGCATTGAGCATTGAACTATTAAAAAATAACATGAGATGATGATGCTTAGATCAGATGTGTGGTAAAATTAGAGAGATAAAATTAGAAATGAAGATATTTGAAAAAAATTAAGGATAGTCCAAATTAAGAAAAAGATAAGAAAAGATCGTTTGAAATGATTTTGACATATAAAATGTACCAATTAGGAGAAATGATTTCTAGATTTGAAAAAAATCAAAACTTTTAGAGGTAAACTAACAAAGACATTGATGCAAGTAATAAAATATAATATGATTGCTAAGAAAATAGATGAAAATATTTTTTTTTTATAAAAATGAATGGTATAAGAAGATTCAAAACTACAATATAACATTATTTCTTTTTTCATCCTTTCATATAGTCGACTGTAAAATTATGAGATATAAAGCTTAGTTTATTACTTTTGTTATTGTTATATTATTCATGTTCTACTGAAACTATGAAAATCATAAAGCTTAAGCATACTTTTTCATGGTGATTTAGGCAAAAAGTGTTTGTAAAACTTGATCAGATACAAAATTAGAGACAAACTTGTAAAAAAAGAAAGAAAAACAAACCTTAAAGGAAACTAGAAAGAAAAACTTATGAAATACAATCTTTAACATGAACATAATTAGGTGTAGCATAATAAATAAGTCTCCTAACAAAACAAAAGTAGCTAGCTTCATCTAAAGGTATGTGTAATATCCTAGAGGAGATTTTCAACATGAATAGATGTAAAAACTTGTTATTGTTTATGTATAAAGAAAAAAGGCCAAAAAAATAAAACTAATGGCATGTATGATGTAATACACTTTATAAATGAACACATGTATGTATTGCATGTAGCAAAATGTTATGTAACGACATGAAAAGATAACATACAAACCTATGCATGATTGTGTATTTAAGTATTTATTTGTATTCATGTGCACAAATGTGCATAAAAAATTTAAGTTAAAGTTTTTCAACATAAATAAAGAGAAAAAATAAAAAAGGCTAAGTATTTTCACAATTCTAGTAGCCCAAATCCAACCCTTGAAAGTAAAAAATCAAGAGTTAAGCTTAAGTTTCTTCTTGAGAGTAGGAGCTTGTTTTCACTCATATTCAACTTTAAATACAACTTTCTGTGCAACCAAGATAGCATAATCCACCTCAGATACTTTGCAATATTAGAAAAACATACAATACAACTAATGTAAGAAAGCAAAGCAGCTAAAATCAAAAACAAAACTTACAAGCCTTGTGTTTCAAATTAATTGAAAGTTATAAGTATGCATAACTTAGATGCAAGTGCAGTAAGTAAGGATTGTCCCGATGCTCAAGTCCAAGAACTTGATCATTAGATATAAAAAAATATGAAGTCATCATTAATCTTTTTTATTTTGGTGTGATTAATCACTTAAGTGAATCTATTTTTTTAAGGTTGTTATAAACTTAAACTAAAAGTCTTTAAAAAAGAATAAGTTTTGGTTTACATCAATAAAACTAAATTCGAAAATCAGTTATTATAAAAATTAATATATTAATTTGGAGTATATCAAATTTCCCTTTTTTAGCATTATCCTAAAGTGTAAATTTGTAAAATAAAGATATTGTTAGAACAAATGTATTATAAAATAGATGAGAATTCTTATGGACATCAACTCATAAACCTGAATTTGTGGAATACTTGGAATAGAGTGATGAAAAGAAGGAAAATTCATGAATTTTGTGGTAACAACTCTTTTGCTTAATAACTCTTC